TAATCTTGTTTTGAAAATCTATGTAGCTATGGTTGTTTTTTGTTGCTGCTGCTACTATTTTTACTTTTGTTGTTTTAGAGGTTTGTTTGCATCTTGATTTTTCTGCTTTTTCTTTCTTTTCTTTAAAATAAAAAAAAGTGTACAATAGATACTGTGACTTGGGAAGAAACTGTTCAAGGGAAGGGAAGAATGTGGAAAGGGAAAATGGGGAAAGGAAGAATGTGGAAAGGGAAAAAATATATATCTATACAAGATAGTTAAGGTAGTTATACAGCTAGCTTCTGTTATGTCATGGTGCAGTGATATAACTGCATCCATATTTTTAGCAGCACAGTTTGTAATGGTTAATTCTTAGAAACAACCCAAATGCCCATCACTGTGGAATGGATAAAAAAAGATGTGGTATTACTATACAATGGAATATTACCCGGCCACGAAGAAGCATAATCTTGAGGCTTTCATAGGTAAATGGAGGCAACTTGAGACCATACTCATAAGCAAAATAAATCAAACTCACATTTGTAAATATTGTATTGTTCCCCTAGTGTAAAGAAAAAAAATAGTAAGATCCAAGATGTACAACAGATATTGCAATAATGAAAGGGAAAGAAAGTACTCAAAAGTAAAGAACAACTTCGATAGGGGAGATGAGAAGAGGAAGAAGGAAAAAGATCGTATGTACATAGGTATACATATATATATTTATTTATATTTATATAAGATAAATAGATAGTACTTATCTCTGTTAGTTTATCCAAAAGACCAGTTTGTGTTTTCATTATTTGATCAGTGTTTAGGGCTTATATCTTGTAACCTGAACATCTATTTCTAAGATAACTATGCAATATATTAGTGTTAATTTCTAATTTTTTTTAAAATTCTGTATCATTCCTATCCTTTTTTATGTTTTGTTTTTTAAATAAAAAAGATGAAAAAAGAATTAATGCTAAAAAGGAATTCATGATACAATAAATAGCAAAATTATATATAGAAAATGTAACTTTAATTATAAAATATGAGTATTTATTAAAAGACCTAGGCTGAACAAGACACAGAACATTATCTGATATAGTTCTAGACATCCTAGAGAAAGTGAAAGGAACATAGCTTGCAAAAAGTCAAACCAACAGAAGAATCAAGAGTACAAGGAAGAGCTGCTTAGGAAGCATTTCAAGAGAATCAAGGGAGTTTGGAGAAATAGACATTTTTACTGAAGTCTGGGAAGGGCTGAGTCTGAAGTGAGAGGGAGGTTCTGATAGATGAAAGAGGAGTACTATTCAGAAAAGAATTCTAGGGTTTATCTAAAAAATAATAAATAATTCAATAATTTGGACTGAGGGGATAATAGCAAATGAGTCAAAGAAGGCAGATCAAGAAGAGTCTGATTAAAGCATTAAGCTGAATTTGGTACTGATCACTAAGATAACCTTGAACCCTCCACAGTTTTACCAAGAGTTGTTTTAAACTTAGTACAACTTGATAAAACTCGAAGTTTATAATAGTAAAAGAACTTTTGAATTTTGGGGTTAATTACCTGGAATTCAGTTCTGGTTCTACCACTTACTGACTTGTATGATGTGAAGAGGTCAAGGGAGGACCCTAAAGCCTTCCCAACTCTAGTTTATTTTGATAGAGGGTGGTAATGGCCTCCGCCCAGCTTAAATATATATCCTTTAACTGTTCAGTGCTCCAGATTGCAGCTACCAACCAGTACCAATACCTGTGGCACACACACAGTAAGAAGGGAATCTCAGGTTCAGAGAAGTATGAGTGTAGGATTCAGGGGCCCGAGACAGAAGTCTGCCTTGGAACAGGGTGCAGCTCAGAGGGCAGTGAAGTAGACGCAGTCAACGGGCTTCAGTGAGCATCTTGGCAAGGGTCAGTTTGTCATTTGTTTTCTCTGCCACCTGCTAAGGAACTGTATTGCACTAAAACAGGAAAAGTAGCAGAGAAAGCCAAAGACAAAGAGACACAGAAGTACTCATAGCGAGTATCACTATAGTCTCTGACTTATAGTTTACAATGATTTTTCAGCTTTAGAGTTATGGACAGTGATACATATTCACTAGAAATCACACTTTGAATTGTGACCTTTTCCCAGGTTGGTAGTGTGCTGTACGATGTTCTCACGACACTGGGCATTAGCGATGAACTGTGACTCGAATCAGTGGAGCTACCACCAGGGCCAACAGCCATATTCCACAGTGTGCTGTGCTGCTGTGCTGCTGTGCCGTTTGGTAGTTAGGTGTATTACATGTGCCTCAGCTACCATGGATTTACCCGGAAGTAATCTCCATCTAAGTGGAAGAGCAGCTGTGAATATTAATTCAAGCAGTCTGCAATATAAGAGTAATATAAGGGTACGACAAGGCTGGATACAGCATACAGTAACACAAGGATACAGCAGACCCACCGGATCTGGGTAGGCCCACGTATTTCAGGGATATTTTATAACGGCAATAGTCTAAGAGATGAGACTTGAACCCTCACTTGAATCAGCCCTTTACTCCACCAGCTATTCCTAAAAGACACTCGCCCTTAACACCAATGTCATCACTGTGTCTACAGCAATGTGAAACTCAATGCTGCAGTTTCCAAATTTACCTGGCTTACAGAGGACTAACAGATAAATATATAAAAACTAAAAAAAACAGACTCCCCACCCCCCAAATAAAAAACCCAATCAATAAACGGGCAAATATACTTCTCAGAAAAAAAAATACAAAAAATCAATTAACACATGAAAAACTGTTCAACACTGCTAGCCATTAGAGAAATGTAAATTATAACAACACTGAGATTCCATTTCACTCCGGAGAGAATGGCCATCACCAAGAAATCAAACGCTGATGAGGCTGCGGGAAAAAGGAACCCTTCTACACAGCTTGTCTAAATGTAAACTAGTATAATTGCTATGGAAATCAGTATGGAGAGTTCACAAAAACTAAAACTAGAAATCCTGTTCAATCCAGCTATTTCCCTTCTATGTATTTTCCCGAGAGTTAATTCTATCATATTACAGTGATATGTGCATACTCATGTTTATAGCAGCACAGTTCATGAAGCAGTCCTACAGGTTAACCGATGAAGAAAATGTGGTATTTATACACAAGGGAGTACTACGCTGCCAAAGAAGGGCAAATCTGAGTCATTTTTAGGAAAATGTTAGTGAAATGACACATACAAGTTTAAATATCACATGGCTTCTCTTATATGAAAAACCCAAAGTATAAATAAATAAAAGATAACAGGAAATAGGAAAATAAATCTTTTTCCTGTGGGAAGGGATTAAGAGATAGGAGAAAGAGAGAAGAAGGGGAGGGAAAGGGGGAGTAAAAACAATTAAGATATGCCCAAGTACTAACTCCTGTAATGAATATAATCACTATGTACTGCACACATGAATTAATAAAAATGAAGATTTAAAAATGCATGTGTCGGGGCTGGGGATTAGCTCAGCGGCATAAGCGCCTGCCTTGCAAGTGTGTGGTCATGAGTTCAATCCCTGGTACTGATAAAAAAGAAAAAGACAAAAAAAAAAAAAAATGTGTGTGTCTCAGTCACCCTCTCACTACTGGGACATAATCCCCAAAGACCTACCATTTAAAGAGGAAGCTTATTTTGGCTCACATCAGAGTCAGGCAGGACTGCACGGCAGAGGAGCATGGTGGAGGAGAGCTGCTTACCTGTTGCTGCCCAACAGCAGAGAGCTTTGGGGAAGGAGCCAAGAAGGAGCCAGGCCTTTCTAGGGCACACCCACAGTGACCCTATCCTACCTCCCAGCAGTAAGAAAGCACTAAACCCTCACAATGTAATCCCCTTCCGAAAGCCCTGCCTGTGAGCACAGGAGCCTCTGGGGACGTCTGGACATAAAGCAGAACGTCCTGTGGGATCCAGGGATGACACATCCAAAACAGACTTGATACACATACACTCAAAGAACATTTGAGAAAAAGCTTTAAATTCTTTCTGGCATTTGTAAAGTTTTATACCATGAACAATTAGAAGATCAATGTTAAATATATAAGGTGTGATCAAAACATAGGGGAAAGTTTAAATTTAAATAAATGAATATACTAGTATCCTAGCCTTTACTAATGTCAGCCATTCAGAATATATAAAAAATAAGAACTCAATTGAGACAACTCTGTAAAGTAAAAGTTATCTTCATTTTAAGAGGTTACCAATTCAGAGCTACTGGCCCAGATCTAAACCAGCTTTTACTTTATTACATACATTATATTAGCTTAATTTATGTCTCAAAACAGAACAAAGCTGTAGATTGCCACTAACCTGCATCTAAGACTGTTTCTCTACTTCATTTAAATCCAAATAATTCCAACTGACCTCTCCTTCAAATGACCTCTGCTAAGCTGTACAGTTTTTTCAGCATATTTTAATGAATCAGGGATAGGGCTTACTGAACTATACTTTTTAATTAAGAGATAACTTCCTTGGCAGAAAATAAGGATATATAAAGGCATCAATCATCAAAACTATTATCTTAATCCTAGGAGGAAAGAAAATTCATAAACTAGTGACATCAGTCCTAAGTTATTACTGCTTATTCAAACACTATATCACATAAAGCACTGAATGCTGTTTACCAAAAGGCATGAAAATCTGGTTAGGGTAAAACTCAGCTGTGCAACATGGAAGAAAACTTTAATATGTTTAGACATGTTAATGCACAAAGGCCAAGCTGTGGATTCATGGTGAAGGCTGAATGCATGTACTGATCTCCAGGGAGGCTGGGAAAGATGCCCTGCTCCTTTCCTGTATTTCTTCGAGTGCTGAGATTGAACTTTTAGGCTTTGATTTTAGGTACATTTCATTTGCATCATGTGTGGAAAAACAATATGCTGAAGATTAACAAAGACAGCAAACATTCAGTCCACAGCTTTGCTTTTACTCATATTGAAATTCTACAAAAAAAGAGAAATTCTACACAGTTTAACAACAGGAGCAACCAAAAATACCCCAAGGAATTGGCCCCTTACCTGGAATGTAGCTCTGTGCTGCCATTGTTGTATTTGCTTCCTCTTTCCCAGATACCAAAGTCGGGTACACGGTAAACTCTTTCTACACAAAACACAAGGTTTTGAATGAAAGTGACCTAAGAACAAAAAAGAAAAGAAGCATAAGGGCACCTGCAATAACAGGATCTTTATACAATGGACTGAGAATAATTTACTATTTGAAAGCGGCCTCTCAATATATAACTTGTTGAAATTCTTGTGATTGCTACATTATAATGCATCATCCACTACATATGTGGTTCTTCCAATAAAACTTACTTCCAGTGAGAACTTATATAGCACAGAAATAAAAATTTTTTATCCTTTCAGTATTCCAAGTGTAATTCTTCAATGTGTGTCTATGACCATTTGAGTATTATGTATATATGTATATACATATACACATGTATATGGCACTGTTTTAATGTGGATAATATCTAGAATCTAAAATGTCCATATGAAATGTTAAATAAATCTAATCTTTGGAAATCAAAAAGTATTTGTCTGTTCTGCATAGTACCAGTGCCACACTGGATCAACCTGGAGCCCTGAGTCCATTCATTCTCCTAAGGAGCTAATCCCCCCCCCACACCCACTTCAGTAGCTAAAAGTACCTGTGGTTATAACTCAAAGCCCAGTGGGAGGTGGGCTCCAACATTTGTGGGCGAGGAGTCTTAGCTTTCAGATAAGAATTTCAAACATTTGGCTAAATTTATACTCTCAAAAGAACAAAGGAAGCAAAGATTATGGTAAATTCTTATTTAATAATACTTTGTTCATTCAAATAAAGGTAGTTTCCAAAGCAGGCTCAAACTCCTGACTACACAGCTTTAAATTTAATGTTCATGTCTGGTTCAATACGATATCATAGGATCCCTCAATACCTCACCACAAGATCCTTCTGAGGTGGCAGTATGTGCCTCTGACCTCAACCTAAAAAGATGTATATACTTTAAAAATGAAAATATAATACACAAAATCCAAGTAAGGATTCACCAGTATGCCAGATTTGAGAAATCAAAAGAAGAAAGAAAACAGATGGGGCAAGAATTGAAGGAAAATCTGACAGCAGAGGAGACCACAGCCTTTCCAGCAATTCTTTCTCTTTCTCTAGGCCCTCTGGAAAGCCACAAAGCTCAGTCAACAAGCTCCTCAAATCAAGAGTTCATCAGAGATTAGGCTACTTAGATTACCTCATCAATGGTGAATGGCTGGGTTCAAATCCCTGAGTCTTTAGCTCCTCTCCAACAAGGGGTCAGGAGCAGTAACCCATTTCAGTGAAAGTATTGGGCCTTCACAGAAACAGGGCGTGGTGTGAGGCAATTCTAGATTTCTATGAAACACACACCATTCCGTAATGTCTCCACCCAGAGTACAGGTCAGCAGCAATCTTTTCTTCTTTACTCTGAATATTGCTGAGGGTCCCTGCAGTTTGTCCTAGGCCCTGCTAGCTTGCCTATATGCCATAAGGGGAAACTGCTATTATAAAAACCTGGCACTGGGTTGGAGATACAGCTCAATGGTCCACTGTTGAGCTAGCATTCATGAGGCTCCAATTTGGACCATAAATACCAAGAGGAACAAAAACCTGGTCATTTTCATGATGGCAGCTCTTCCACGGTCCTAAGAGTTGTTAGGTTTTTTTTTTAACACACATACAGAAAATACTTTATGGTTTGCAGGGCACCAACTTTGAAACTTCAAAACAATCCAAATCTCTCTTCCTTTCATGACAAGCTTCTCAAATATGTCATCTATCACTTGATGTTCCTCTCCCCGCCCTCTCCTTCCCCCTGCTTGAGGGGATGGCAGAACCAAGACTATACTCAGATCAGGAGGTCAGTTGGGTCAGGCTACCTAAATGCTAGAATTCCTGGCTAGAAAAGCTTTTCTCTACTAACAAGTTCTGCGCATGCCTGACAAATGTCCCACTCCACTGTAAGCTTCTAGGCGCCAGGAACAGCACTTACTTTTGCTCCCTACCATATGCCCGGAGAACAGTGCATGGTACAAAGGAGATGTCAGTAAATATTTGCAGTTTTTCATTACTTTCAAGTACAGAAACCAAGTCACCAAGGATTATAAATATAATGTTTATAAAAGTCCAATCACCCATCCTTCACATACTTTAAAAACTCATCACCTATTTCTTCCTCAAAGTTCCATTTCCTTGGCTACTGACATACTACATCCATCTTCCTGGTTGCCTTGTTGTTTTGCTGCCATCCCTACTGGTGAACACTGTGCAAGTCTCTGCCTGTCCTTCCCGTGTATGACCTCATCCCTCTAGCACATTCAATCAGTAGTTTCCACTACAGATAGTGGTGTAAGAGGCGGTGCACACAACACCATACCAAGGCAAGAATGTGGCACATGGAAGACACGGTGCTGCTGTCACTATGTAGTATAACTGACTAGCCGAGCAACACGTGATTTCTATAAAATGAATGATTTTTTTCCCATATGTCTAACCCAAGTTTACCATTTTATGATTTTCCCAGTCTTTCAATATTCAAACACATACTTTTGTTTCTATATGCAATTATGAAGTATTTTCCCTTAGATTTGCCACTAACCCACCCACCTGTGCTAAACTCTTCCACTTGGAAGCCCCATAATTTTCCCATAAAGCTGCTGTTTTCCTAGGTTCTTAAGTCTGTATACCTTGAAATTATCTTTGGTCTCAGAAATTTATTAGGCTATTGTTTTAGAGTGAGCTTCTGCACTAGGCCCAAAGACCAGACCAAACGAGACTTGTGCTGGGTGCTGTTTAATCAAATTAACCTTTACATGGGCCAATGTGGAAAAAACAACATATTCAGAACAACCAAAAGAGGCCCAATTTAGCTGAGGTGGTAGGTTAAGGAAGTTCCCTGTTTCAATTATAAAAGGAGAATAATTGCAAACAACTACCCTGATTTCATTCTGCTCCTACTTTCTTTTTTTTTTTTTTTTTTTTTTTGTCTTTTTCATTTTTATCAGTACCAGGGATCAAACTCACAACTACCTGCTTACAAGACAGGCACTTCTGCCGCTGAGCTAAATCCCCACCCCCCGCTGCTCCTGCTTTCTTTAGCCCCTTTCTGTCTATAAGGCCAGCTTCCTCTGTTCAGATAATTGCACACAAGTTCTAAAAATTTGACAGATGTTTTCCAATCTGAATCACCAATGAAAGTCAGTTCGATTTTTAAACTAATTTTGTTGTATTTTGTCTTTTGATATGATTAAGTCAAATTTTATCAATCATAAACAAATTTTTAAGAACTTATCAATTTTTATCAATTATATTTGCTTTCCCCAAGACTAATTTGCACCGAACTTCTTTTAGTCAAAAAAGTTTCCTGAATCTTGACAGTGTTACAACTTTCATCTTTCGACATTCAAACCTTCCACAACTTATCCACTCTGTCCTTATATGCCTGTTTTTATTTCCTGTGATCAATATATTGGGTTCCAATTGGCTCACATGCATTGTCTTGTCCATTTCAAACTGAAACTTCTCTATGAATCTTTCTATTAACTTTCATGGTTCTACAGGCAAGACCACAGCTCTTAATTTTTCATTTCATGTGTTTGTTTCTTACCTCCAAATAATATACAGGCTCACCACTTCTTATTTGAAACTTTAAAATACCATCATCTCTGAAAACTCATTTTTTTCAATCATTTATCAAGAAAGCTAGAAACTGATGCAATTATCTAATCCAGACATAGACATATAATATTAGGATGAAACAGATATAGATCCTTCATATATAAATACTGTATATACATCACTTTGTATGAATATGTATTATTGCAAAAGTATTAATGTGCTAATTAGGTGATTCTGTCCTAAACCCTGGTGAGGTTACAGTAGTCCCTTTTTATTTTTTGTTTTAAGAGATAGGATCTTGCTATATTTTCTAGGCTACCCCTGAATTTCTGGGCTATAAAACACTGTCCCCCTCTGAATAATGCTTTTTAAATCCAACAAGATTGAAATCTAAACATACCTAGTTATGAAATGTCTAGAGATAAGAATCTGTGGACCCATGTAACTCTTCTGAGTAATATAAATTTTTTATATTTTCCACAAAAATAATACCATGATTTACTAAAGACTGAGCAACTGAGGAAATATGAGATTATTAGAATATGAAAATAAAGATCATAGCTGGGCGTGGTGGCTCACGCCTGTAATCCCAGCACAGAGGGAGGCTAAGGTGGAAGAATCGTTGCAAGTTCGTGAGCAGCCTGGGCTACAAAGTGAGCTCAAGGCCAGCCTGAACTGCATAGCGAGATCCCCTCTCAAAAAAGAAAAGAAAGATCACATCTTCTTCCAAGACCAGGGTATTCTGCATATTAATTTCAACTTGTGACTCCGGTTTATGTATCTAATGCTGTTGGTGCTTTTCTTCATAGTCATACCAGTTTCCAATGTATTAAGTTGCTTTCCACAGTGTATATCTCTGAAATCAACTTCTAGAAAAAATCTACAGAAAAACATTTTAGAAACAGCTTCAAGGGTCAACTGCAAATGTTGTCTGAGGTATTTTCTAAATACTTTAACAGCTTTAAAACAATAATTGATGTATCTAAAATACTTTCAAAATAGTTAAATGCAAATGAAATAATTACATTTTGGAACACATTAAAATTGGGGAATACTGTATTAAAAAACAAAATCCTAATGGACTTCATAAAATTTAAGGTACATGGGGCTGAGGATTTAGCTCAGCGGCATAAGCACCTGCCTTGCAAGCAGGCAGTCGTGAGTTCGATCTCTGGTACCGATAAAAAGGAAAAAGAAAAAAAAATTAAGGTACATATAAGAAAAATGATGACATATTGACAATCAAAAGGATTTCATATTAAACATTTAATTTTAATTAATTACCACAAATCCCAAAGACAAAGATACTTTCGCTTCCTGTTCCTATCAAATTGTATAGAAATACCTCAATTCTAAGCATTATAGTTAGAAATAAAAAATAAATTCTATTGTTCAATAACATAGAAGAGTGACCATGTTAATAGTAATTTATTGTATAATTTCAAATAGCTGCTGTAAACATGGGTGTGCATGAATCGCTATAGTATGATATCTTTAGCTCTT